GATCCGAGGGTGTCCCGCTGATTATCTCGCCGCGGGGGCCGTTTTCCACCCTCCCCTCCTCCTCCGCCGCCATCTCCGCCTCCCCTGTCCGATGCCGGGTCCACGGGCGCCCTTATCCTAGCCCCTTCTTTTTTCACTCTAGCACCACCCGCACCTTCCTCCTCACGATCAAAGCCGCCATCAGCGCCGCCACCGCCACGACCGCCCTCTCGCCCCCGATCCCCCCTCCCTCGCCCCATGACACGGCTCCCCCCCCCTCGGCTGACCCACCCGCTGCCGCTCCCCCTCCCACCACCACCGCCACCGCCGCCACCGTTGACGCGCTCTCCTCTGGCTTTCCTGGCCGCCTTCTCCTTGTCCCTGTTGCGGCCTCCCGCCTTGATCTTCTCGTCGTTAAGCCAGTCCCGGGCGCCGGCCTCGAGGGTCTCCGGGTCGGAGCGGAAGCACAGCTCGTGGGCGTGGTGGGTGAACCAGGCCGAAGGGTTCTGGAGTTCGAGGCGGTCCGGCTTGTCGCAGTAGTCCTTCACGGCTCGCTCCATCACCTTGAAGGAGTTGGTTATATATAAACGGGCACAACTTGTTTTCGGATGAGGCGGATCGTTTTGCGCCCGAAGATCGAGGGCTGCAAGTGCCCGAGAAGTCACTAGTACTACGCCACGCCAAAAAAGCGTCAGTTGATACATTTGATACGTATGTACTTGTCCTCTGGTCACGCTCTGTAGTTCTCTACTTCGTGATCGTTTTCCTGCGTGTCGGGGTGGGGGGGCGAGGGTTTCCGTGCGGCGCTTGGGGAGACTTGACAAGGCTGTTTTGATTCCTATAATGCGAAACAACAGCACGTGGTCGGAAACTTGGACCTCATCTCCGGAGATTCTCCCTCACCGCCCTGCCCGGTGGTTGCCCCCGTTCTACGTCTTTGATCTGGAAGCCTTTTGCCTTTTGAAGCATGCTGCTGACTCATCACATGGGGAACCAAAGCCTCCAACTTCGCCTCCCTCCCAAACCTTAACCTGGTGGTCCCACCCCCCCCCGGATATTTCCGCCCGAGTCCTTGGGTACAACCAATTAGTTCCCTCCCAATGTGCATCTTCAAATTTCTAGGTACAACTGCTCCCCCCCGCACCTTCGCCTCCATTTTCTCCAGAACTCCCTGAGCGGCTTCGTCCAGCTCAGTCTTCCCGAGCCTCCCCGCGGTTATGAACTCCCCGAGCACGCGCTGCACGACGCTCTTCATGAACTCCTTCTGTTCCCCCCTCTTCTCCTGGATGCGCTCGCCCTTCCGCTCCTGAAAAGGGAGTGAAAAACAACAACCCCCCCCCCGAGAAAAACACGAAGAACACAAATAGGGGCGGTGAGATTTCAAAATAGAGACGCATATCACAACAGGATACGCGGAACATATCCGTCGAGGGATGCCGTGCGTGGGAGACGACGGGTGTAGGAAGGGCTTGGCCAAGAAACAATGAATAGCCGCTGAGACCGCTGATGCACACGCTCAAAATTCTGATCGTATCGCGAGAGATTCGAGTGCGTGCACCCACTGTAAGGCAGGTAGGTAGCCTGTTCGTTTACTCTCTCCTCCTCACTACGCGCTTCCTATAATAGCTCCATGCTTGCCGTCGCCTCTCGTCGCATCTCTGTGCGTCTGTCCATCTGCCTACCCCACCCCACCCACAATTCCTTCTAGTTTATCTGGCTCCGTCTCCCCTTGCAAGAACGCCCACCTTACTTTGAACTCTCTCCTTGCCGGAGCCACCCCTCGAACCTCACCTTCCCCCCCCCGCTGGTCCGCTCCACGTTGAGCAGCCTGCCGTCGAGCCGGCTGTGATGAAGGCTAAGGCACTGGTACGCACTCTCGGCGTCATCTACTTGCAGGAAGGCCATGCCCCTCGATTTGGGAGGGTTTGTGCCCTTGCGGGTAAGCAGCCGCACCGAGATGTTCCCCTCGATGCCGCCCCTTCGCGTCGGCACAACAAAGAAGCGAGAGAGGAAAACGGCAAAGCGCAGGAGGGGTGTATGCGGTGCGGTGCGGTGCGGTGCGGTCAGGTTCATCCTGGGCGAGTCTTGGTGATCCAAAGTCCTTACTTTAGAGGATTCGGCGAAAGGCAAGGGGAAGTCTTTCGCCAGCGTTGAGTCGGCCGAATCCAAACGCTTCGGTAGCACCACGCTCCCGCGGGTTGCCGAAGCCATTTCTACACGACTACATAAACGCACCAAAACAACCGAACACGCACCATACAAGAGCTGAACAACCGAAAAACTCAATTCAGCTCAATACGCACCTTGGTCAGCCGCGAAACGCGGTCGATGCTAATAAACGCGCACACACACATACCTTGTCCTGAAGTGCTCTTCTACCCTCTCCGCTGTCGTCGAGAACGCCAGCTGTCCGACGAACACGATGAAAGGGTTCCTGCTGCGCCCTCCGCCGCCGCCGGCCGCTTCGGCGTCTTTGCTTCGCTTCGATGGCGGCGGGGCGTTGCTTTCACCCTCTCTCTCTCGCTTCTTGCGTTCTTCCTCGCGACGAAGCAGTCGCCGTTCCTTCGCCGTAGTTGGCCCTGCCGCCGCCGCCGCCGCCGTCGCTGCCACCTCAGCTGCCGCCTCCGTCGCCGCTGCCGCGCGTCTCGCGGCGCGCCGCTCTTTCGCGTTGGTCGGAGCCGCGGCAGCTGCCTCGGCCGCGGCACCCTCGGTCGCGGCAGCTCTCTCGGCCGCTCGCCTGGCCGCCCGGCGCTCTTTAGCGCTCGTTCCTCCCGCCGCTCCCGCTGCGGGTGACGGCGGTGGAGCGCTGCTGCCCCCGTCGTTGGACGTCTTTTTCGGATGTGGGTCACCGGATGTGGGCGCGGCAGCTGCAACTGCCGTGGCGGTCTTTTGGTCTTCTGCCACCTGTTGCTGCTGCTGCTGCTCGGCTTTTCGTCTGGCCGCTCGCCTCTCCTTGGCGTTCATTCCTCCTCCTCCTCCACCACCACCACCTCCTCCTCCCTCTGCCGCCGGGGCGGGTGGTTGTTGGGTCATGGTGATGCAGCACTGCTTACTTTCCCCCAGCGACTGCTGTGACGTGGGAATCTGCCTGGGCCGCGATTAACTGGGGTGGAGGTGACGACCTTGCGTCACCTTCTCTCCTTCGTCTTTGTGGTGACCTTGGGATGAACTCGAGGTGCCCTTGAGGTGACCAAAAGGTGAAAGAAAAAGGTGGTGGTGTGGCGAGGATGGACGGCGGGACTGTCAGCTTAAAACTCGCGGCGACGCAGTGCTTTCGTTCCAGTGGCTTGTTGTTGCCCCTGAGAGCGAGCGTGCTTGGCGGGCTTGGCCAGGAAATTACTAGTGTACCGCCTTCAGAGGGTGCGTGTGAGCAGGCGCTCTTCCGTGTCGCTGTGTCGCTACCACCGTTGCGTGGTGAGCAAGGACGGATGTGTGTGGGGGGTCCGCGAAGGAGTACTTTCCCTTCATCGGGGTGGTTATGCAAGATATACTCCTGTCCTTCGAGCCCCTTGGTTTGACACACCGCGTCGCCTACCGTCCCTCGGGTTCACACAACAGCACTCGGGGGCGGGCATTGGCATAAAACCATTGGTGAGTTAATCAGTTGATATGTTATTTCGTCTGGCCCGAGGCGGAGGCCTCAAACGCCCGTGTTAGCCCCCGTGAAATTTGAAAAGTAACGGTCGAAGTCTCTCTCGCTGAGCTCGGCCTCTCGCAAACAAGTGTAGTAGTAATACTTGCGCGACTCGAGCTCAGTCTCTCGTGTTGAAACAAGTACTTCCGCGCCTCAATTTGACCACGGTTAACCAACTTGCAGCTGCCACACACAAGAGATAGAGAGGGAGGAAGTCACTGGGGTGGAGACCCCAGGTATCACTGCCAATGTGATGGATCCAATAGAGGCGGAGGTCCTTCACTGCAGAGGTGTCCTCTCTGACGCTGCACCGGAGCTCCCGCTCACTACCGCAACAGCAGTAGACTAGTGCTGTAGCCGCTCTTGCCCCATCGAAACTGAAGTAAGAACGCCACCCCTTGGGAATGCTGTGCGCCTGAAGTTGCTGGAAGGAAAACGCGGCGGGATTGCCCTACAGTACGTGGCAGAACGGGCCTACGGTTATTGCTAGGCCCTATGCTGCGTCTTATCAAGAGCTGCTCAATGGTCTACAGTGCAGCAGGCATGATGCGCCACGCCCCTTTGGCCAGTTTCCGAAGTTAGACACGTCGACAACAACAGAAAATTATAAGCCCAGCGGTGTGCCCCATCGGAAAGGCTTGAATGAGACGTTCCAACGCCCCCCTGTTCGATATGTGAACCTTGACATCCGGTGAGGAGATATCCGATATCATCCCAATGTTGGGTTGTCACCGTTACACCGCCTTCGTGATACCCTTGAAACTGGCACGTTTACCTGCTACCCGATGTTCTTGCGTCCACCCTCTTTCGCTCGGCTAACAGAGCAAACGGACGGCGTATTTACAGCAGGCAGCAACGGCAACCGAAGCAGCGAGGCTACCATGGCGGCAGACTTGGCTGCCCTTAAGGACTGGGTCACCGCGGCGGACGGCGAGCAGTTCTCCCGGCTGCCGGAGGGAGTCGTGAGCGTCAACATTTCGCACTCCAACATCACCGCGCGCATGATCGAGCTCAAGTTCGACCTCAGCCAGACGGTGAGCAGATTTCCGCCTGAACTCGTCGTGCTTTTTTCTGACTCCATTCGTTTCGTCTTTCGTCCTTTCTGATTTTTCGCGGGTGTACATGTAGTCCTTGCCCTCCGGATTGCTGCTGCAGCCGGCGGCGGCGGCGCAACCGCCGCGGCTCTGTTAATGTTTTCGTATTGAAGTCCGTGTATTGTGTGGTAAATACAGAAGCCGAAATCAAACCATTTAACCCCAAATCAAACCATTAGACAAGTCAGCGCTGACTAGGCTAACGATTTAATTTCGGCTTCTACAGTAACATGTATGTCGAGCAGCGTCAGACATGCGCAATCAGCCGTCTCCAAGGAAGGCATCGAGAGCATTCCAAAAACTCCCCGTCGTTGGGGTTGCGGGGGGCCATTATGCCGAAAGCAAGCACTGTCGCCACATGGCAGGTGCTTCGCGTGGTCTCTCGTGCTCTGCCGGGCGGGCGACATGCTGGCAGGCCGGTTCCACAGACACCGGTGTTCTCCGTGCTGGCCACGCCGCACAGCAGTTCTCGCTCACCACCAGAACCGGACGTTTGCCACGAGCCTCCACTCTCTCCTCGGCGTTCTTGAGCCCCGCCCCGTTCACACATCGAGCTGGTTTTCTTTTTTTCTCTTTGATGGGTGACAGCTCGGAGACGTAAAAGGCAAGATCTACACGCACTGCGGTACCAATCCGGGGATGCAGAAGCTCAGCCTACGCTCGGGCGGGCAGACGGTGAGTCGAGCGGTCCCTTTTTCTATGTGCAGCATGGGGTGTGGAGGACGACCACCAGTGGTCAGCGCAGATTCATTTTGCTAGGAGTATACGGTTCACGGCGCCCACTCAAGAGGCTAAGGCGCTCGCATTCTTGCTTGCGCCTTCGGTGGAACAAGGGCGAAGCATGCTCTGGCATTCCGATTTTTTGTTTCCTTCAGAGGGGCGATGCGCCCTCAAGTTCTCGCAGCATGGGCTTGGTAAAATGGCAGGGCTGGTGTCTTCACTGCCGAGGGTTGAGTTTTCCAGCGTGGGCGGAATCCGTGGCAGCCACCACCTTCTCTGGGCAGACTTGCTCACTGATGGTGTCAAGCAGCAGATGCTGGTGTGCGTTCATGCGCGTCGTTTGTGCCGTAGTTTATCATGAGAGGCGACGTGTCGGAATCCGATGGAAAGCTACGCGCAGGGATCTTACCCGCCCTCTTGCTGTCGCAGATGTGTCAGCTGGATGACGACTCGAAGAAGCTGGGGTTCTACGGAGTGCAGTCGGGGATGGAGGTGAAGGCTTTTGCAGTCGTAGTTTGCAGCCGTGGCCGTAGCGTGTACGTCCGATGACGTCGCTGTTCTATGTTGTTGCGGTGGTTGCTGTTGCGCAACGAACTCTTTGGGGCGGTGTCAAATCACCACGTTTCAATGAAACTCGCTCTCTTAACCGTTGCCATCGTTTGTCTCAAAACGCCGCTTGGGGAAGAGCGAGAGGGTCAAGCACATGAAGATGCTCCCGGTGCCGTACCACCGCGTACGTGTAACATGGGGTTGGTCTTGGTCCTCGATGGGTGTTGCACATGGCCACTGGTCCTTCGAAGCGCATGGAAGAAAAACAACACCAATTTGAAATTTCAGACGTTTCTTGTTTCCGCCTCTGTAGTTCTGAGTTTTGACGACGGTCACTATCAAACACTGAACATAGTCTTCCAGCTACAGCAACAGCAGCAACATCCAACAAGGAAGCTTAGCAACGAACCTCAACAACACATAACAATAGCACTGAAACCGACAACGAACGGCTGCTGCTGCTGCGGTTTCCTGCTTCTTGTTTCCGGCTGTCCTCTATTCCCTCTCCCCAGATACACGTGACCGACGATGATCCGTTCTCCCTCACTCGCGGAGGGGCATTGGAAGACTTGTCGCGGGTACAAAAGTACCGCATGAGCGAGGAGGACTACGACAAAAGAGAGGGGACGCTCAGGTGCGATGCCCCCCCCCCATCCCCGCTTGCCACTTTCCAAGCAATCCAGCGCCAGACAAACCGCACCACTATCTCAAGAGAACCTTGGATCTTTTCCCCATGAAACACAGAGTTTGGTCGTTGCTTTTGTGCAGGATCACGACTTCCTGTGCAGACCGTCCGGTCACTTTCGAGAGGTGGCGGGCGCACCTCAGACTCCCGACCCGCCGCAATGTGCTTGAAACGTTCGTTTGTACTTTTTCTACGGGCTCGTGTTGGTGTTGATTTTGTGTGTCGGGCGGGGACGACACATGGTTTGTTTCGCCTCTAGCGTCGGTGGGAGAGAGAGAGTCAGCCAAAGGGTAATGCACGAAGCGGCAAAACAAGAGAGGCCGCGGGGCACCTGTACTCGGGGCACCTGTACTTGCGCGCAAGACGGATCCTAGGGCGAACCATCGGTAACTGTCGGGCGTCAGTCTGCTGACTACATGTAATAGCTCGAATCTGCGGACTACATGTTATGGGAGTTCTTCGCAACTGATTTCCGGCGGAATACGGGATGTGGCCACGGCCCATGGGATTCCCACGGTACTAGCGCGTTCACCTGCACTATCGAAGTACTGTACGTCATCCAATCCCTCCAAAGCCACCAATTGCAGCAGCAGTTGAAGCGGTACTTCCCCCCCCCCCCCCCCCCCCCCCCCCCTGGGGTTTGCAAAAGGTTTGGTAATTTCAAGGGTGGGGGGCGTTTGCCGTTTCAAACAAAGGCAAACCTGGGCCCTTTGGTAACCCCCTTCACCGGGAAAGGATGTCTGGCAATTCTGGGCCCCCCCAAAAAACCTTTTGGCCTTACATGGGGGTGTCCGGGTCCCCGGGCATGGTGGTGTGGGGGGGAACAAGGACTGGGGGAAAGAAAAAAAAGGGAAAAAATCCACTTTGGGGGAACCCGGGGGCCAAAAAAAAAGGGAAACCCAAAAGGGGGGGGGGCAAACCCCCTCGGGGAACCACCCAAAAAAAAAAGTGAACCACCTGGGCCGGGAAAAGAAATTCAAAAACGCCAAAACAACGAAAAAAGGGGTTTAATTCCGAAGCCGCCCCCCCCAAAAAGGGCCCGGGACTC